AGATATATACATAATACTATTTCAGTCGTTTGGACTTTGGACTATCGAATTATCGATGATTATCGAGCAACATACTATATTAGTCGTCTGAACTTGGACCATCGAGCTACCGATAATTTAGCCATCTGACGTTGGTTCGATGTAGTCGATAGTATCAGAGATTTAGTCGACTAAAAGTATCGTTGGCTACTATCGACTAAATCGATAGTTTTTAGTCGATGGTGCCCATCACTATTATGGAGTTGGTCGTTGTTAGGGATGGTGCCCTAACGGGGAGCCGGAGATAGAAAATCGGGATTATTAACCCCTTGACATACAAATTAAATGGAACTTTACATACAAATTAAATGGAATAAATGACGAGTCAAACTCGTCATTGTATGTCAAGGGGTTAAATACATACAGCGAAGTTTTGCCCAGAAAACCCAGAACCGTTTCTTAATTCGAAATTAAGAATATAACGTGATTAAAGTAGAAAAGACGGGACTGCCAAGCGAACCCTTGTGTCCGCGGTGTACGACACCGGCGTGCGTCTCTCAAGGGTTTCTGAACACAATAGGAAAACTCAGATTATGCGAGGCACGGATACTCGTGCGATTAATTAGCATAAGACATGTGCAACCGATTCGTTTTTGCTTCGCGTGGACTGTATTAATATGTCGGCACGAGAAGAGAACAGCTCGTTTCCTCATGCCGAACCTCGTATGTCGTGCCGTGACGCAGGAGGATGCACCGGATAGCACCAATGAACACCGGTTACAACGAATCGTTGCAGAGCGGGTATAATGATCACGACCATCACAAATGCGACTTTTATCACCGCAATAGCAAAGGGCTTCCGACTTTAAACGGTCTCGATAAAAGCCGCACTGCTCTGACCAGCGAAACTCGCGCTCGGGCGATGACCGAAGGGTCACCTTCGAAAATCGCTCCGATACGGGTCAAGGTGCGTAGACCGATACCGATCTACTGCAATTCAAATCGATATTCTCCGGTATTATAGCAAACAGCTGATTTTAATCCAGGATCCAGGCGGATTTCTCGACGTCTACCCGACGTTAATCTACTTTACGAATTCGGAGAACTTTCTCAGAAATTCGGGTGTAATACTCGTACATCGGTAGACGCACCGGGAAGGAATTAATAAGAATCCGCGATACGCGTACGATTGCCGGTACGCGGCTCTTTGTCTATTCGTATACGCGTCTCTCTCGCACTCACACTCCGGGCGTATACACGCTCGTATGGGTCACCGTTCGGGATTCCTTGTATCGGACAATCTTTCTGCCCCGCCCGCTCGGATTCCTTTAAAAAATCGGACCGATTGCTATGCAGCATTTTTCGGCCTACGATTATTCACCGAATCAAAAGTGGCTGTACTACAATTAGCCAGGAAAGTAAACAAAAAAGGATCATAAAAC